ATCGTGTTTTTATTTCTCATTGGATCAAACAAACAATTGCTATGTTAAATGAGAACTATATATTTTTTTTTTGTTGTTTATGATGAATTTAATATTGGACAAAATTTGTAACTATAGAGAAAAAGAAAAGATGTAGTATAAATTTATTTGATAGTTAGTCTTCTATTGTATATTATGAATAATTACTTAACGAAAACATCATTAATCAATAGATCTAATAGTTAAATTCATGTTATCACTCAATCAGAATGATATAGAAATTTCTTTTAATGAAATTGTATTGTTCTTGAACTTAAAGAATTATGCTTGATCAATTTATTTTAACTGTATGAAACAAATAATGATTTATTTGTACTGATTTCAGCTGAGCAAATTATTCATACTAACTTGAATAATGATGTCGTTTCTATTTGTTCATTGCACTTAACTTTGATAATGCCTCATTTCTGCTATTCATTGTCCATGTTTAACTCAAGTGTTACCTTCAAATGAAAGTCTTGAAAGATGAAACCTTTTCGTTTAATCTGTTTATCAATGCCATATGTGTATATATTTTATTTTTTTTATTTGTTCTACTCTTTTTTTTATCACATCAAACTGCAGCGGCTTAGCATTATATGATGTCATAAGGTATAATATATACCAAGTTTACGATTAACTGATCCATGATATGCAGTTTGTTGACATTGATTACCATTAGACTTACACAATGTATATAGACTATGAATAAAAACTTTCGTAATCAGAACAAGAAGATGCAAATGACTATACATGTTTATTGAATTCATATAATAATATACTGTTGATATATGACTAAAAGTAAGTATATCAATAGAATCTATATTGAATAATAAAAAGTATTCATTATTTTTATTTTAAATTGAAGAAAAAACAAATTCATTTTCTTCTTTCACTGAACATATTTTTTAAAAAGGTCGAAACGGAATGAAATAAAAAGACCAATATTGCTAGTACTAGCGGTAACAAATAGAAACTATTCATAATCGTTTCTATTTATATGTTTGAAGCTCACTTGATTGTGTAAAACTATTACTTGATTAAAAATCAACATATACAAGTGGTTCTTAATTATACAAATTGAAATGAATATCAAGCACATCAACTCTTAGAATAACATCAATAAATAGGCTCTCTTGCAAATCTAAACAATCAGTCATATTATATTCATGTAAAAAACATAGATTCATTTGGATCGATTTTTGCAATAACAATACGAAAACATCTGCTTACTATGAAACTCATCAAAACTTTAGATACTACGTTATTTTGACAATACTTGTCTGATATAACACAGTACATATGCATTTAACTATGAGTAACTTTGTTGCACTTACACACTAATCTCTTGTACGAGTGTGACTTTTGCAACCGGATCTGTATCCGAATAGCTGTACTCGGTACACGGATGAAGCTAATCGACATGTAGTAGATACTGTCACAGTCATCATACGGTTTTCAAACTTTTATTTTATATGAAAAAGTATGCTATTTAGTTTCTTCCATGAATAGCAACAAAAAAAAGCAAGTGAATCAGGATTTACTTGATGTCCTTCTACTTTGAGAATCCGATCAATTTCTCTAAGCATACGTTTGCTTATTGCTGATAACATTAAAATAGGCCGCAACATTGGTGTCAAACGTCACAATTGTGGATAGATACAAGATTGCTTTTTCCATCACAATAACATATGTTCACCTTTTTGATAACTCATTTTATTCTCCATGTATTCAGTTACTTCGTCATATGGTTCATCATTATCTGCAAATGAGTTTTCATTAAAAATGGATTCTTTTAGTAGAACAATATCGTTTTCCACTTCTGTGATCTGTTCTCAAGTACAATAAGTTGTTCAATCATGATCGAACAGATTTTCACTCCTATTCTTTTCTATAAATTAGCAGTTTGAAAAGGAAAAAAATATTTTGAAACCTCGAGATCTCATGAATGATTGGATCGGGCTCTAGTATGAGATCATGCCCGGCATTCAGCTGGGTTGCAGAACACTATTATATACTTATATTCATCATCGCTTAAATTAGTTGTCGCATAACGATAGTTATAAAAACTGTACTAGTCGTTACTTGTTCATATGTCAACATATTCATTCGACTTATTTTTCTCTTATTTTTGAAAATATTACGAGCTAAGATTGAGAAAATAAACTATTGTTGTCATTATTAAACTTCTTCACATCATAAAGAAAATAAGTTGTCTTTCATCCACTTACATATTTTTTTTTTATTGTTGTTGTTCTTTGTTGTTACTGATTCTTTTGTTTTTAACTGACTTAATGTTCCGTATAAGCACATACACACGCACAAATATTAAGAAAGACAAAAAAAGAATAACAATAGATCACCAGGCAAAAAAAAGAAAGCAACATGTATGAGAATGATATTGCCAATCTTATACATTAACCATTTCCCACAAACCATAAGTTATGCCAACTGTATTTTGCCATAAACGTAATGTTCCATCTTCACTACCTGATGCATAAATTTGACCATCAGGTGAATATGACATACAATGTATTGGACCAAAATGACCTTTGTATGACTCTATAAAAATAAAAATAGATTTTTTTCGAAGAAAGTTTGTTTGTATTAATATTTACCAAGTTCAATACCCGTTTCAAAATTATATTTATAAATACGAAAATCTAATCCACCACAAACAAATTCACGTGCAGTTGGATGAAATGAAGCTGTATTCATTTCGCATGGCATTTCAAATGATTGTAATTTATTTAAACTATGAAATTAAATCGATTAAAAGAAGATTGATAAACTAAAATTAACATACTTATTGCCATCATAGATTTCTACTTTTTTGCCATGTGTAATAAGCAATGAAGCTTGACCATCACGTGAAATTTCAATACTATTTGGTGGTGAAGGAAAATCAATAGTTGATATGCAATTTCCTGAGTCAATATCAAAGATTCTTTGAAAAAACAACACACATTGATTTGATTTACGTCAATTTTAACCTTACTTTATGGTTTTATCATCGGATGCTGTACAAATTCGTTTTGCATCCATAAAAATTGCTTTTTTAACTGCACCTGTATGACCATTGAAAACTTTCACTGGTTCTTCAAAAAAAAACAAATAATTAACTTTAAAATATTATTTTTCTTTATTAAGAAATAAATAAACCAACCTGTTGGTGCAGTCACATCATAAATTTTAATTAATTTTTCATTTGATCCCGTTAACAACCATTCTTTATTTATCGATGAAAAATCAACAGAACGTACAATATGTTTATGTTCGAATGTTTGTAATTCAGCACCCGTACTTGCATCCCATAATTTTGCAGTAAAATCAGAGCCAGCTGTTGCAGCTAATTCAGCATTTCCTGTTATAGTTGCTCCCCATACAGCTCCTTTATGACCAATAAAACTTCCAATCCTAGAAAACATACAATAAATATTTATCCATTATATAAAGCAAAAAAAAAGTTCTTACCAATCGCCTGTATCACCTTCGCGTAGCATTGGTATACCATCTAGAAATTGTTTGAAAGAAAAAAATTGAAAAATAATTTGTTAGTGAAGCCCCTTTGAAATTGAAATATGGAACTCACATACATTTTCCTACATTAAAACATTGCCTCACTATTATTAGTGTACATATTAATACTTTAATTCTACACTGTTTCCTTTGTTTGCTTCTCTCTTTGATCGTAAAATTTCATCAATGTTGTTCGCTATGCAAATCTCTGATTTTTACCTGTGTAACTACGAGTGATAGCAGTACTAAAATGATTGATTTACAGGTGTGATTACTATAGAAACTTAATCAGTGACCTTCAACTCCGGTTACTAGTTGAGGTCGAAGAGAACAGCGCCGTAAACGATATAAAACGATGAACATAGTAGGAGCAACGATAACTGCTTGCTAGCGAAAGAAAATTAATGCAGTAATGCGCCGTTTTATAACCGTTTCAGGCCATTTAAGATGCTGTTTTCAACGGTTGAAATCATCGTTGTGACAAGATCTGCAATGGGGCAGGGAGAGAAAGTTGCAAAACTTCGATTTCAAACTGACACTCACTATTCTCTTCGAAAATGTATGTGAATTCTACAAAATTTTATATCCAAATATATTAAAATTTACCTTTGCAAGCGCTTATGAGAAAGTAGCTGTATTTTGTTATATCACTAAAACGAAGATCAACGACTAAAAGAAAAACAGAAGAAAAATAATTCGTTTCAAGAATTGTCATTCATGTTTTAATTAACCTGGTCTAGTGTGACCGTTGCATGTAATGGGTACTTGACGAACAGTTGTTGTTGACATAGTTTAAATAAAAACACTGGAAAGATTAAAATAATATATAATGGCTTTTATTGTTGTTTCTTGTTTTGTTTTGGTGCTGAGAAAATAAATAAGATAATAAATATGTACAATGGATTGAAGCGACAAGAAAAAAAAGATAAATCAACGTTTTGAAGTAACTAGAAATATAAACTTGTATTTTTACTCTAAAAAAAATAAAAGTCGAAAAAAAAGAAAAATAATTACCTATTGTTAATAATTTTTTATCATCTAGAAAAACAATGTTATTTTGTTATTTAGTTTTTTTGAAATCGTCAATCAATGTTTATTTTAATTTTATTTACATTGATCATCATATAAATAGTTTAAGAATTGAAACAAAAAATAAATAAACATACACCTTTAAACTAAATGGCACCTGTCTGTTTGTTATACACAAAACAAACTACAGAAAAAAAATGCATGCACCCAAGAACGTCTTTTTTTTTGTGTTTGATTTACTATTACATATAACAAACCAAAAACTAAAAATAATTATATAAATTCGATTTTGTCCTATGGTAAGAATGAATATTATGGAATAAAAAATAGTGGTATTTCTGTCAAAAAAAAAGAACAAAAAAGAAAAGAAAAATGAAAAACATGAGGTGCATAGTGTTATCATGAGCATGAATAATAATATATACATATATGCTTTAATTTTTTCCATTATAGACTTTGAGAGCTTTTTTGAGCAATGGTGGTATTATTGGTTCTAAAAGATAGAAAAGAAAAAAGAAAACTTACTTCTTTCTTTTGGTATTATCCCATTCCGTCAACACATTCTTAATGATCCTGTTCCACTGACAAATATTCTTTTCCATTTTGTCGACAGCTGTTTCTTCCTTTGACAGACTGAAGTTTAATGATGAAGCGTTTCATCAACAAGTTAAGACTCGATTAATTTAAAGCACACAATAAGTAATTAGTTTGCTTTTTTTGGAGCGTGATAGAGCACTGAAGAAGTAAATCGATACTAGTGTTTTATGGAGGATGATCCAAACGAATAAGGGTGCGAATACAGGGACATAACCAGGAGAGAGATGCAAGCGGTGCCTGTGCATCCATCTGACCAAAAAAAAATATCAGAAGGGAGATAAGAATAAAAAACGTTTTCGCAAAACAAAAGAATTATTTTCCTATTGATGTGGATCCGGCTTAGAAAAATTCTGGTTATGAACCTGGTCAGAGGACAACCGGTCGATAATTTTTCAACTGGTTGGATCCGACCATTTTGTTGGATCATTGTAAACCAGTTAATGGGAATGACTTTAAAAAGCATTCATGTTCATTTTGATATTCAGGTTGTCTGCAAATGTTCGAGAAGCAATAGCATTTTCTAGTTGTTTATATCTGTGAGGTTTCTCCAAGATGAATACGTGATAGTCCTATATATAATGCGAAAAAAAAGAGCCATTTACTCATCAATTAAGAGCTAAACTCCAAATCTTGAATTTTCTCATTCAGCCTTTTCAGACAAATCTAACATTTTTCTACGAACGACGATCCAAACTTAAATTTGATCTTTACTAAAACATATGAGAAATAAGTTTAGCTCAAGTAACTTAGTTTTGGTTGTGATTTTTACAAAAATGAAATATATTTCGATAAAGAAAAAATAACACAATGTAGACAAGCAGAAGAAAATAAAACTAATAGTCTTTGAAACAACACTTCTTAATTATTTTCATAAGAGCAAACAAACTTCCTCTCAACAAGTTTTATCAGAGAAAAGTAGCATATCTATAAAAAATTTTCCAACTGATAAAAATCGGTTCAGTTATAACTTTGGTAAGGGTGTGGGGTTAAGAGGAGACTAACGCTCAAACCCATCTTTTTAGATTAAGTTTTAATAAGCAAGTATTGATTCTTGGTATTTTCTATTACTTGCGTCTTAGCTTGTCGACTAAATGCTTAATTATTGAAAGGTGATCTGTCAAGCGAAAAAAAAGTTGTTGACAAAATGAAAAAAAAAAATTTGTCGATGAAATGATGCTAAATCTTTTGTTCTTTTTTTCGATAATTTCAGTATTACTTTTAACTTTTGCTTGTCCTCGATTATGCTTTGATGGTGGAAGATTAACAACTTGTCGAGCAACTTTATTTGAAGTGATATTATGACGGCTAGTAGTTTGACGTATATTAAGTGGTTTTGTATGACGAGCTATAAGAAGAAAAAAAATTGAATTAGAAATTTATAACAGTATAAAATTTACCTGTATCAACTGTTTCTGCCTTTTTTCTTTTTGCAAGTTCAGTTATTTGATGTAATCGTTGTTCTTTTTCATTATATTTACGCTATAATATTAACACATATTTGATTAAAATGAAGAATTATTTTATTTTATTTTATTTTATTTTATTTTTTTACCCAATAAAGTTCATAATAACTTTCACATTCTTCTCTTTCAGCATCTTTAAAATATAATGAACAAAATTTTTGCCATAATGGTTCAACATCATCATAATAATCCTTCAAATAAAATGAAAAAAGATTCTATAAAAATATAAAAATTATTCATACTGGATTATTATCAATTATAACATTAAGTTGTTCAGGTGTTGCTACGTCAATAATTGGTTTAACTACATCATAAGGAAGTCGAAAAAAATGTGTATAACATATATCTATACAGAAGATAAACACATTTAATTGTTTAAAAGTTTAGAAAGTCTTTTACCATCAACATGATCTTTAAGTGTTTCAACGCAAAGATCTTGAAGTGATGGAATATTTGTACGAGCAGCGCGTACACCAGAATAAATAGCTTGACGTCCTCGTTTTGGACGAAGAAAATTAAAATTGTCAGCTAAATATTAAAAAATACGAGAAAAATTTTTTTTTTGAATAATTTAAATATGAGAGGAAGGTCAAAAGTTTCTAGAAAAAATATTTGACCATTTTTCGTGTATTTATATCCATCGAAAAAGAGTGAGACATAGTGTATTAGAATTAGAATTTTTTGCTCTTTGAGAATATATACTTAAAATTTTTCTGTGATTTTTGACTATTCAGCTATAAGCAAATCTTGGCAGGACTCAACATTTTTTTTTCACTGAAAACTTCAAATGAAACTTGTTTGAGACGTATCACAAAATTTTATCAAATATATTGAAAGATATACTACAAAACGGTATGTTTGAATAAAATTTTTTGCAAACTGTTGACATGCAGTAAAGACTTTTTTAAAGTCTATTACAAGAAAAATGGTTATTTTTTCAATGTTTGCTTTTCCAGTAAAAAATTGCCCTCGATCAGAACTCAGCCACTTTTTTCTAACGGATTAACCAAAACTCTTCATTCTTGTGTCATTTTTGTAGAGAAGAGATCACTCTCAAGTACTATATATTTACAGAACTAATTTTATATAGACTTATCTTCAGAAAAATAAGATTTTTCCCTTTTCAGATCCTTTTTTTTTTTGAGTCTTGTCAAGATTTATTTATAGCTCAATGGTCAAAGGTCACAGAAAAATTCTAAACATACATTCTGAAAGAAGAGAACAAAGTTCTCATTCTAATATATTATCTCTCACTCACTTTCAATGTATTTAAATACTCAAAAAAATAGTCAAATATTTTGTCTAGAAACTTTCGTCTCACTCTTTAATTATACCAGGTTTTTTTGGAATAGAAATTGATTTTGATTTTGATAAATTAGATGATGGTTTTGAATGTTCTAAAGAAGCAATACTCGATGCAATCGCTGCAGTCATTGAATTATTGTCTATTTTTGCTGTTGAAGTAGCTGATGGTACTTTTACCTAAAATATAAATTATCGAATATCTCTTGTTTATAAAAATTACAAAAGTCAACTTGTATAACCATTCAATGGTATATAAATAAAACAAAAAATATAAATATAATTCATATTATTTAGCATTACCTGTTGAATATTAAGATTATTATTCTTCATTGTTTGTTTGCTTTTAATAGGTTGAGACTTTTTAGTAATTTCTTCTTTATGATAAGCATTAGCATTGTCATCATCATCTTTATCATCATCATCATCATCATCATCATCGTCTTCTTCTGCCCAAATGTCATTATATTTTGTTTTGGGTTGCTCAATTGTTGTTTTTTTTAAATTCTGATTATTAGCAATGAAATCATTTCGATTGTTGTTTATTTTATCATTTTGTTTTAATTTCTTATTAACATTATTAGCAAGATCCGGCGCACTAGCAGCCAATTCTTCATATTTAGCATCAAATTGAGCATAGATTTCTTTGATTTGATTATCAGTTAATTTATTTTGAGTTGAATCAACCGTAGATAATGAAGATGGTATTGGTTTTTTACTCACAACATATTCAGCCAGAGAAAGAACTTTACGTTTTTTAACCGATGATGTTGATGATGATTGATCTCGATCACTATGTTTAAATTCATCAGATGATTGAGATTCACTAGAAAAATTAAAGAAGAAATACATTTTTGCTTCAATTAATTTCTTCTATTTCGAACCTTAATGCATTCGAATGTATTGCGTCATAATCATTAGATTTTCGTTTAACAGAAAGTTTATGTTCAGCGACTGATTTTTTCGTATTTGTTATTGTTTTAATTTTGGATGTATTCGTTGTTTTTGATAATAGATTTTTATCTTGCCATTTTTTTAGAAGACTCTTAGCTGTTAAGCAATAACTTGCTTCTTTATTCGATGCAAGTTGATTAACGAGTACGTCTATTTTCGTTTCCTAACAAAGAAAAATAAGAAAATAATTGTTTTAAAATTTAATTTGATTATTACTCGAAGTAACATAGGAGTAATCGATGTATTATGCAATTTATGAAGATATTCTTCAACCTAAAAATTAAAATTAATTAACAAAATGAAACAAAAGATAAATTTACTTTATCATTTTGTTTCGAAGCATTATATTTTTCAAGTTTCTTTTTAACTGTTTCAATTGTACTGATAGCTATTTCACTGCTCATTGTTAATATGTAATCTAAGAAAGTATTAGAAATAAAAAACAAAAAAGAAATGACATGCAATCAATAAATATATCAATATGTATGTATTTATTTGCTTTGAGTAATGTTTAATAAAGAAATTTTCCTGTGGAAAAAATTAAAGAAACTTTCCATAGATCTTAATTTGGTCATTTCCGTTTATCTTCTAGTTAAAACAAATAAATAAGTAAATAGAACGAGGGAGGTACAACAAGCAGCGGTAGAAACATAAAATAAGATTAGTTGATGATCGAACAAATCATCAGACAGAATACGAATACATCTAATCATGATGTCGTTACTTGTTCATATATGTCAGTAAGAAATATTAGCAAATATGTAAAAAATATTTGCATAACTTGATTAAAATATGAAACAATCAGATAAAATAACATCATTGAAATGTTGAGAAACTCATGACTAAAATGCCTGATTTTGTTAATTGATTTTTCTATGCTTTTTATCATTGGTGTTTCTTTTCTTTTAATATTTTTATAATATTTCAAACATAATGATAGTATCCATTTGAACATGAGACTAGTCTGATAACAATAGGATATAAAGCATAGGTTCTACTGTTATATCTAACTATGATTTTATCTTTCTTTAGATCATAATTAATGCTACTTTCGAGTTGAGTTAAGATAGTAATATTTAAAAGTTAACAAAATAAAAATTTCTAAACGATGGAGAAATTATCTGCAAACCTATGAAAGTTCTTTAAGAAACCTGAAACTGACTTTCAGTTGTCTGATTTATCATTACCAAAATAGTGCGTTCTGTAAAATAATTTTTTTATATCTAGAAATGTATTCATTCTGATCACTTTATACACGCAGACATGGGTACCAAATATATCATGAATAATAGTAGATTCCTTTGATTTTCAAAGTCGTTGAATTGAAAGAGAACTAATGAGGAATTTATATCCTTCAGTCCTTGAATAATTGGTAGAAGAAGATATCAAATTTTTAGCCGAAATGTTGTTCATATATACATTAGATGCTGATTCGTCTAACAAATGTAGGTAACAAATATTTGTTGCACCGTATTCATATAACGTTTCATATTATATATGAAATATTCAAGAGAAAAATATATATTTATACAGTGTCTTAAAAATCATTTACCAAAAAAATAAGTTACATAATGTCTATCGTGTTTCAACCTATTCAGGTAATACTTTTTCTAATGATAGACGAAATGTCCAAGTTTTTATTCTTATGATGAAAATTAACAAATAGTGTTCAAAGTTATCATTCTTGACTGCAATACAAAAACTAACTTGTTTTCTAATCTATAGGAAGATTTTATGAGGACTGTTTGTAAATTCTTAGATGCTTGCGTAGGATTCAACAAGCAAAAATCGAATTTTTGTAGATTATGGTAGAAAATAATCCGAAAACAACCAGAAACTCTGAAAGAATATTAAGAAAAAGACTCTATGAAGATTCGAAAAAAATCTATTAGGCTTCAGAAACCTGTAGAGGCCCAATTCCATTGTTTCCTTTAATACGACCGCACATTTTCAATAAAATTTTACTATAGAATTCTGACTTGCAATTTAATCCACACAAAGCTCAAACTGCGACTAGTGTGTGTAGAAAATTTCAGAATGTTTGGACGTTGTCTCTTCTAGATATAAAGTGTTATAAAGTTAGTCAACATGTATGGTTTTAAATATTGTTTATCAATTTCTCTCATTAGAATAAAAATTTAGATCTGTCTTTTATTATCAGAAAAAAAAAATTAGCTGATTGGGTTAAAGTGGAAAGGAAATATTTATATTTTTTTGTGACCAGTAACTTTTGAAACATTCAGTGAATGATACAAGAAAACAAGACAATACGATTGTTCTGTCTCACGAGCTCATCAGCAAAAAAAAAGAGCAAACGAAACCAAGTAAATGTCGACTGCCTACATATAAAAACGAAAGCATGCCAAAGAGACAATCTTGACATGCCAACATAATTGAAATTTTTTGCTTTTCTTCTCTTTATTATCGACCTTAGACTCTTAGTTTAACCCTTTGGAGACGATTGGCCCCTTCAGGGACCATGGTGATTCTCTAGCATTTTAAAACACACAGATTCCTGTATGAGATTAGTTTTTATGAAAGCATTTATCAGAGAGTTTTTTGGTATAATTTGGATTGTAATTAGGTTATTTTATTCAGATATTCAGTAATGGATAATAGGTTCTTTTAGAAAATAAAAATGTTGATTGATTTATGATGAAATGTACAGAAAAAAAATCCATCCCCAAAGATTCATGCGTAAAAACAAATATAAAATAAGATTTCAAAAAAAGAAAAACGATGATTGCTATCAAAACGAAAACATTTTCAAAGAGGTAACATAAAAGACAATAGCTATCTTGTATAGAATAAAAGAGACGAACATGTTTCTGAGTCTAGTAACACCAACGTTTTAAGCGCAGTTCAACTAAAAAAAAAGTAATAAATTAATAGTAGCGAAAATCAGTTTGAAAAGAACTCAATATTCTTTTAGTTTCAGTCTTCATATATTGTCCCATCGACGAAAAACAAGCATCATAGCATTTTCATTTGTCTACAAGAATATCAATTATCACCATGGACATCAATTTCATGAATCTAAAACTTGACTATATGCTCCTCGATGTTTTACAATACCCATCACATGCACGTATGTTGCAAATTTAAAGACCCATGTCTGAAAATGTTCTATTGGTCTTATAATTTATTTTGGTTATTATGCTATATCTGATCTAGCAAAATTCCAAGATTTAAGAAAACGATGTGAATGACCCAAAAAAAGCAAGAGCAGTTTTATCTCGATGATTTTATTTCTTTTATATACATCTATATATAAGTCTTTTTTTATCCCTTAGTCAATTATTCTTTTTTCAATATTTTTAAATAAACTAGATGATATATAATCTATACGAAAAATGACATCTATTAAATCCAAAAGATTTCCAATACTATTGATGATTATTTTTTTTTAGTTGAACCGACCTCAGGACATAATTTCCTCAAATAGGAACAAAACAGTAAAGAAAGATAACGCATAAGGCATGTGTTCTCTTGCGCAACGCTTTTTGTTGTATATACGCAAGGTGCAATCACCTATGTAAAATACATCAGACCATATAGAAGTGATAATAAGATTTTTTTTCTAGTTTTGTTTTTTCTTTCATGTTTACATTAAAAAACAAGCTTCGGCATTAGCTTTTAAATCAAATAAACCATTGAACTGCTATCATAGAAACAATAGCTAGACATTTGTTTTATTATTCAAATAAAATTTTAATCAATATTTTCTCTTAAAAAGACTTGTAGTTCTATCATCATTTGACGTAGCTATGTGTCTCTCGTCAAATAGTAAGCCATTTTTTCTTGTTCATATGTTACATATTTCTATTCTTTTATTTTCTTTTTTCCGCGTTTACTTCGTTCGAAATATATCACATTTGTATTTGTTTTGTTGACTGGATTTCACATCCAACTAATAGGAAAATAATAATTTCTTTTGGAATAAACACTTATTCATAGAAAAGAAAGTGTTTTCATATGTCTCATAAGTTGAATTGGAAAAACAAGAGCTACTTTTTGTGATCTGATGATATTGAAATTAAAGGATCTTGTTTTATTCATTTTCAAATATAGAATTTTGTTTCATACTAGATTTTTTTAAACAATAAAATAATCATGTCATTAATCGTAGCTGGCATCGAAATGGGTGGTACAGGATGTAAAGTAGCTATCAGTGGTGAAAATGGACAATATGATAGTCAATATTCATTACAAATTCTGACAACAACTTCTGAAAATACTTTAAATGCAATGTATAATTGGTTAGGATCGAAAAAATTAGAGCGACCATTTGTTGCACTTGGTATTGCCTGTTTCAGATCTATTGATCTAGATAAAACAAGTAAAACCTATGGATTTATTACAACAACTTCAAAACCTAATTGACAGAATGTAAATGTTGTTGGTCATTTTCAAGATCTCAATGAACCAATTGCTTTTGAAACTGATGTTAATGCACCAACAGTGATAGAAGTTGCACTTCAAGGTGATGCATCACTAGCATATATTACTATTGGAACAGGTTTGATCATTCAAATTCTTTTCATTTTCAAATGTTGTTGTTTAATTGGTTTTTTGCAAACAGATGTAAGTATTAATCTCATTATTGAAACTCATTCCGTTCATGGCCTAATGCATCCAAAAGATGCGCATATTCAATGTCAAGGCTTATCTATTGAATAGTATGATGGTAATTGTCTATATCATGAGTCATGTATTAATGATATGTCAAATGCGAAATCTGTTGCTGATCGTCTTGGTATTTTACCAAACGAGCTCAATACAGTTCTTGACGATCCTCCTGTATAGAATGGACAAGCACGTTCTATAGCTCAATTATGTGTATCAATAATTATTTAACATCCGTTCAACGTATTGTTATTGGTGGTGGATTATCAAAACGTAATTGTTTATTTATACATATACGAAAACATGTTCAAGACATGAAATGGTCTTTTGAATCTACCTGCAATTACAAAAAATATTGATGATTATATTGTTCCATCAAGTCTTGGTGATTTAACTGGTATTCAATTAGCTCTTGATATAGCGCAATCTGTAGTAGTAAAAACATAATTCTTTTTTTTGTGTAAGCTTTTTTTTCAATAATATTATTTACAAAGAATATGGTAGTTCCAAAAAAAAACAAATTTTTGATTTGAATAAAATAAAGTTTATAGAAATAATTATCATCTAATAAAAATAAATTAAATAAAATGATTGATACTCTTATTTTGTATTATTTCCTTTGCATATAAGTAAATAGAGATAGAGCTTTAATCTTCTTGAGTATATTCTTGAAATGTAACTAAACATTAAATAGATGAGGATGACTAAATGTGAAAAAAAACAGTACTTTCTTGAAAATACAATACATTGTTAAACACATCGTTAAAAATATATAGAAGAATATATATATATTCAAAACTGACACCGTTTTAAAACTATAGGAGTTGAATTATGTTCAAATATTTCTGATTTTACAAATAATGTCTGATTATCTTCTTCATCACTATCTTGAGGCCAAATATATAATAATGGTGAACATGGTGGTGTTGGTGGATCAAAACGAAGGCCAATATAAGGTTCATCCCATTTTCTTGCTGAATATTTTGATTTTGGTATTGTTTTCAATATTGTTGATAATGATGATGGTTTAGATCTGTTAGATGAATTTTGATCTGTTAATATTGGATGTTTTCGTTTTGATGCTGATGGTGTTCTTACTAGTCTTTTGTCTAATGATTTTGATCTTGATCTTCGTCTTCTTAATGAACGTTTCTTAAGTTTTGTTTTTTCTTCTGGTAATAAAAGTTTTAAAACTTTTGTTGTTATTGGTTCTATCGGTTTTTGTGCATCAGCAATTTCTTCAATAATTTGACTTATACTTTTAAAATTTAATGGTGATGATGATGATGATGACGATGATGATAATAAAGATTTTTCTCGAAGATTTTTTTCATCAGCTTTATTTGCTGATGCTAGTGGAATAGTTAATGATGATTTTGATAGAATTGTAGAAGAATTTATTTGAGTTGATGATGGAATTAATGATGATCCAACAAATTCTATGGAAGAAACTTGATTTGTTAATGTACTAATATCATCTTTTTGTTTTGAGAATATTTGTTTATTAACTGTAGCGGTTGTGGATATTTTAGATAGACTACAATTACTTGGTACAGTTGATGATATTTCATCACTAGTTTGATATCCATTATTAGGAAATGGTGGATTACGAAGAACAACAAAATGTGTTTGACCAGATATTGATTTTTTACATTTTGGACTATTTAAATCAGTATCAGGATAATTTGCTTCTTGTCTATTAAAAAATTCATTTTTAGATAGAAAGAGAAAAGTTTTAGTTACCGTCGTCTTTGTGCATGTGTTGATGCCCAATATCTTTGCCAAGAAGTTGATGTATTTGTTGAACTTCTTGTGAAACTATTTGATGGACGAAGAGGTTCTGGTTTAATTGTAATATATTTTGAAAGTGTATTGAATACATAAGAGCTTTGTATATCACCATTAGAGAATGATGGTTGAGATGTAACATTTGTTCCTCCACATCCTGTTGTTATATCTTTACTTGCATTGCGTTGTTGTTTAGATTTTAATGGTCCATTGACACGAACTGTTGTTGTATACTGTCGAGATAATTGTTGGTACATAATTTTTCGATGTACACTATATGGTAAATTTGAAGCATCCAGTAAACGAGATGAATTATCAGAACAATGATCAATCCATCGTTTTGTATGAATATTTTTTAGATGATTTGTTTCAGAGCAACTATAATCCCTTGAAAGAAAAATTGGTAAATTGAATTGTTGAGAAGTTAATTTATTTCGTAGATTTTGATTATTTGAAAGAAAATGATTCGAAACAGATGGATGAAACTTTACAATGTCTACCATCGTTTTGTACATAAGAAGAAAAACTAAATCATGACAAATAAATCTTTTACGATGTTGCTTTATCGTCGTGTGTATAAGAAGTGGCTTTTACATCGGTTACTTTATTTTTTCTAATGTTCTAGGGATTCGAACAACATAACTGTTTGCATTAATGTTGTCAGGTAGATACCGATTGAAATCTTAACATTGAGTAAATATATGCTATAAACATAATACTCAAGTTGTTATCTTTGATGTTTGAATGCGTTTTTTCTCTGTTGTACAGTAGTGTTTGTCAAATAATATGTCTAGAATTTATTTTCTTTTTTCTTTTATACCCAGATCGAGACAAACGGGCGAACGTATGAAAACGCCTTTCAAACACGTTCGATAGCGTTCGTCCGTTCAGAATACGTTCGCATCACCGTTTTTAATGGCAAGTGTACACAACATAAGCAAAATATACAAACATTTGCAGCTTTGAAAATACACGCTGCTGTACACTTGTCTTAAAAAACAGAGTGTATATTGTACACTTTGTAAGTGAGATTTTAAATGTATTTTTAGCTCAAAAATTATATTTAAACGATGATCCGATTCTGGTCTATTTTTTATTTTTTCTATTCATTGACTGACATCCCTTCTCTTTATAATTTCTTTTCTTTTCAGATTTATATAAAGTCGTTTCTGATACTAATGTGATAGCTGCAAAGAAAAAATCAAAAATTGCAATATTCAACTTAGTTTTCTTCAAATCATACCGGTTTTCATGATGATGAAGAGAACCATGACAGTTTTGATAAGTTTGCTGGTTATTTAGAATTTTGAAAAATAATAAATCAAGGTTCTTATGCTGATGTGCTTTCCTAATGTTATACTTTCGTGTAGTGAATCGTCCTAAATGAATCACACACAGATTGCTTTTTCCTTGCTTTCTATTTACGTTTCTATTATTATTCTCTATTTTTTACTGGATAAAACAGATATGAAGACGTTTTTTCCCTTTTTTTATAATATGCAACGTAAACACCGTACATTTTGTACACTTTGCTTATGAAAACAAGTGTAAATGTACATTTTGCTCATTTAAAACAGCGTTTGAGGTTTTTCTCAGAAAAAAAACTAATAAAATTTTTTATCCAATATTTGAAGTTTATCAATAATATATTATTTATACTTTTAGATAAATTTATTTATTTTTTCTAATTTCTCGTCGTGGAAACAAATATTTTAATGTATGATAGGAATCAATTCAATACCACGTCTACATCTTAAAATAATCGTTTCATCACCTATCGTACATTAATTTCTGATTTTCTTCTAATATTCATTAAAATTTTTTGGTATTTTTTATTATTAGAACGACAATTCAAAAAGGATAAAATGCAACATATAGAAGAAAAATATCACTGAAGTTTAATTTATTAGTTCAAGAACTTTTTTTTCTTCAAATTCATGTGAGTTTTTTTAATGTTTTGTTTAGATCGTAGTGATAATGAAGAATCATAGCTTCTATAGGTAACATTTAAAAACAAATTCGATCAGGTCAAATTCAAAGAATATTTTTTCGTGTGTATTTTTTGATTGTAAAAATGTATTAAGTGAAAATTATTAAGTTTTTCTTAGTTTTTGAACTTCTTTCTTTCTAATCTTTTCTCATCAATTATGAATGCGAAACTATGAAAATTGTTTCGATATTGTTTCATTGCGAACTTTGTGTCATTCTTTTTTTTTTTTGTTTTTCCTTTCCTTATTTATTTATATTACTATTTCTATTCTGTCGTGCTAGCGAAAATTCTTCGCGACCAAACTATATTGTTTAACTGAGCACTACTGTTTAATTTATTGGGTAAATAAACAGAAAGCATTGAAAATCGTGATTAAAAAAACTGATTGATATAGCAAATGAGTCAATAAAATGAGCGTTCGCGACCACAACGAAAGTCATGGCGAACGTATTCGGAACGGTTAGAAAACGCGTTTGGAACGGGCGAATACGTTCCGATCGTCTCGTTCGGAACGTGATCGTTCGTTTTGGCCTGGGTAATTTTTATTAAAAGACACTTATACCGATGCATTTTAATAACACAAGCGACAAACTTTTATTCAAAAAGAAAAGAAAATACATTAAATAACTAGATTTAATTGATCGAATATTTGTTTTATGTTTACATATTCATCAGATGTTGGTTGAATAAGATTTGTTTGATGATTAGAACCACGTTGTCTTGATCGACGATTAGAAAACCAAACACGAACTTGTTCAAGATCAATACCAAGATGTTCCGCAATAAGATGACGTTGTTGTAATGATGGATATGGCAGTTGCATAAATATTCGATGAAGAGTAAATAATTGAACAGGTGTGAACCGATGACGATTAGATATAACCAATTTTGTTGTTGAAACCTAAATCAAATTCAATAAATGTTGAGATCTAATTGAATATATAGTAATCTCACCTCTGACGATGATGAAATGTTGATAGCAGGTGGTGGTGGCACAACAAGAAAAGGATCGTAAAAAAAAATCGATGATGGTAGTGGAGGTGGTGGTTCAACTGTTGATGAAAGAAAATGAAGAATAAACGGATCGATGATACGTGGTGATGGTTCATATGACCTATTCATGTTTGAATATAGTTTCATTTTAATATTTTCTTCTTTTTTATACTGTTCTTACATTTTTCTCAATTGATATCATTTTGGGAATGATACATATCAATTATCCATTCGATGTGTTCCTTATCAACATCGTTCGTTAATTGATGTGATTATTCTGTTA